CGCCAGATTTATGACTGACTTATTCTTGATTTGCAATAATAGAGGTTTCTTCACTTCGACTTCCATTTCTTCAAATACCGATCTGATCCAAATTTCTTGATATGCAACATAAGATTCTGCTATATATTCAGCTTCGCACGATGTTAATGTCACCACAAGTTGCTTTTTCAAGCACCATGAGATTGGGGAACCAAAGACTTGAAAGAAATATCCAGTTGTGCTTCTTCGATCTTCCTTATCTCCATATCAATCAACATTTGAAAAACAATTAACAGTTGCTTCTTTGCTTTCAGAATCTCGTCAAATAGAATTCTGTAGTCTATCAATCCTTTTAAGTATCTAAAAATTCTTCTTGTAGTCTTCATGTGCGATACTCTTGGTTCACTCATGCATCTGCTCACTAATCCGACTGAGAAACCTATATCAAGTCGAGTGTTTCACACATATCTCAGAGATCCTACAATTTTCTTGAATAGAGTTACATCGACTTTGTCTTCCTCTCCATGCTTCTCTAACTTCACATTTGGTTCGACAGGTGAGGATGCAGGATTCAAATCATCCATCCTGAATCTCTTGAGTATCTCTTTGACATACTTCCTTTGATGTAGTACCATACCTTACTTCGACATTTGAAATTCCATTCCTAGAAAATAAGAAAACTTTCCCAGATCCGACATTTCAAATTCCCTATTCCTCAGCTCTTTTGAAATTCGACAAGTTATCTGAGCTATTTTCGATTACCAGCAAGTCATCGACATATAAGAAAATGATTGTTATATCTCGTGCTACAACCTGAACATAGACAACATACTCAGATTTTCATTTGACGAATCCCAATTTGACAAAGTATGGGTTAATCTTCTTGTTCCATGCCCTAGGTGCCTGCTTCAGGTCATATAGTGCTTTGTGCAACTTATATACTTTAATCGCTTCTTTCTGAATCAGAAACCCAAGAGGTTGTGTGACATAGACCTTTTCGTCTAAAGGACCATTCAGGAATGTTGATTTCACATTTAAATGAAATGTCGACTAAACTTGATTGCAAGCCAATGCTACCACTAGTCGATCAGTCTCCAATCTTGATACCGGAGAAAATGCTTTAGAGTAGTCGAGTCCCACTCTTTGAAGAAAACCTCGAGCTACTAATCTTGCTTTATGTCTCGTTATCGACCCATCAACATTGTGTTTCAACTTGAACACCCACTTCATTTTGATAGCTTTTGTGTGTATTGAAAATTCGAGTAGCTCCCATGTGTTATTTCTTTCGATTGCCTGTAACTCTTCGACCATAGAAGACTTCCACTATTTAATCTTCAAAGCCTCACTATAGTTGATTGATTTAGCACCTGCAAGTAGAGAAAAATGAATTAATTTTCCATCTGGCGTGACTTCATCATCACTAACCACTTCATACTCCCGAAGTCTTCCTTGAAGAACTTTAGTTCTTTGAGGTCTTTGGCTTGTGCTAGCTAATACCCTCTTCGACTTCAACAGTGTTAAGAATTTCAACAACTTCTTTGACTTCAACTAGAATATTTACAATTTCTTTGACTTCGACTTCATCAATATCTTCGTCAAAACCATAGCTCATCAATGGCTTGCTAATTACATCATTAGAATTCTAATCTTTGACATAATTTTCATCTATCACAATATCTCGACTCAACACAATATTTTCATTAATTGGATTGACACCATTTTTATGATATCCTACCAGAATCATAGGTTCACTCTTGTCCTCAAGCTTCCTTCTTCTTGCATCAGAAACATGTGTGTAACACATAGAGCCAAACGCCTTCAGATGAGTCATTAATGGTCGTTTTCCACTCCACACTTCTTCAGAAACCTTGTTCCTTAATTTCTTGGTAGGAAACCTGTTCTGAATATAAACTTCATTCAAAAAAACTTCTCCCCATAAAGATTTTGGAAAATTCTTCTGCTTCAACATGTATCTCACCGTATCCAATACGGTCCTGTTTTTTCTTTCTATAGTTCCATTATGTGGAGGCATATAAGGAGCAGTTAGCTCATGATCGACACCATGTTCTGCATAGAAATATTCAAACATCTTGAATGTGTATTCGCCACCTTCATATGTTCTCATAACTTTGATCTTCTTCTCACTCTAGTTTTCGACAAGTATCTCGAATCTCTTAAAGATTTTAAATACTTAGTCTTTTTTCTTAATCACGTAGATCCACAACTTTCCACTAAACTCATCGACAAACGAAACAAAATATCTATTTCCACCAATGGCATATTCTTCGAACGGGCTACATACATCTGAATGTACCACTTCGAGTGTGCAGGATGATCTCATTAGCATAGTCGAAACGAAGGAATTTTTGGATTGCTTTTTGACTAAACAACCTTCACAAAGTTTGTCAGGCATCTCAAGACTTGCGATACCAGTTATATATATTGAGTAATCAGTTAATGGAGTGATCGAAAGTTCAAATGTCCAAATCTCAAATGCTACAACCAACTATCCTTGTGGTCGACAATAATTTTTAGACATTATACTTCAGTCAAACTGATCATGGTCTTAAACATCCAATTCTTTTATAGAAGAGATTTTAAGACTAAATTGTTCTGGGTGTCAAACAATTTTAAAGCTCCATCTTTCATGACAACTGAGAAACCTTTTTTGGCCAATTGTCCAACACTTAACATGTTTCACTTCATTTCAGGTACATAAAGTACACCTTTGATCATAGATTTCTCTCCATTACTCATTTGAAAAACTATGTTGCCTGTATCTTCTGCTTGCAACAAACTATTATCAGCAAGTTTTACCTTGCTCTTCTTCGACTCGTCGAAATCTGCCAACCACAATTTTTGACCAATCATGTGATTCAAGCAGTGAGTCGAGGAACCAGATCTTGGATTTGACATGGTTATCTACAACTGCAACCATAACCATCATACCTTCAGAATCATCTGAGTCTTGGCGTGCAAGATTCACTCCTCCGTCCTTGCCTATTGATCCATTGTCTTTCATGTACCAACAATTCTTAGCCAAGTGACCCCACTTTTCATAATTGTAGCACTGTTATCTTCTTTGTCCTTTTGATAGATTCCTTTTCCTCTTTTCGAGGATTCAAAAGCCCTATCATTGACCTTATTCTTATGGGAGATTTAACCAAGACTTCTTGCCCAGAGTCTTGTCGAACTAGCCTTTGAATTTGTTGGAACCACTATATTTTTTCCATGATTGAGCTTGCAAAGTTTGTATCGAATCTTGAACTCTTTTCCTTTCGACAATCCTAATCTCACGTGCTTCCAACGAACCAACCAAATCTTTCAGTTTTAGAGTTTCAAGTTGGTTGGATTCATGAATAGCTACGATAACGTGATCAAAGTGAGAGGTAAATGTACACATTACCTTCTCAACTATCATCTTATCAGTTAGGGTTTCACGACAACCCTTCATGAGATGGACGGATTTCTGCACCTTCGAGACATATTCTACAATCTTTTCGTCTTTTCCCATAGACAAAAATTCATATTATCGTTGCAAGGTCTGCAACTTGACAACTTTGACTTTTTCACCTCCTTCATAGTACTTGACAAGAATATCCCATGCCTCCTTTGCCTATTCAGCATGAAAGATCCTGTTGAAGTTCGCCGCATCGACCACTGTTTGAATGCAATACGCAACCTTACCATCCTTCTTCTTAGCTTTGTTTTGAGCAGTCTTCTGTGTGTCAGTTGCATCCGCAGCCAGTGCAGGAACGCCATTAGTAACCACTTCTAGGGTTTCATGAAAGTCAAATAGAGATTGCATATGTTTTCTCCATCGAATCTAATTCTTGCCGTCAAGAATTGAAAGAGAATTTGGAATGCCGTTAGTATCATTTATCTTCACAACAATTGATTGACAATTAACCTACGATCTCGAAAACACAATTTCTGACGTGTGATTCATGAAAGCATGATCAATGTGTATTTATAATTAATATATCTCTATTAAGTATATTAAGTAGAAGATTTAATGTGTAGAATTTAATAAAATTATTTGTTAAACTAGATGATAAATCTGAAATAGCATATAAGTATTTATAATTAATATTATTCAATTTTCATTATAAAAATATAAATTCAAACAAATACTATAAACTTGTGAAAAAAATTGTTATCAAAGAAATTTATTTTCTTTAAAGTAACATAAATTTTACAAAGCACAACTCGTTTTCTTAACTAATAAGACATGTTGTATTTTCTTTTGCAAATTTGGACAGTATTTAAGAATTCTTTAGATATACTTTTTTCCATTTTTTCATGCGTAAAAGTAGAAATAATTTTTCAAAAATTATTTTCTTGAAAATAATAAAAAAGTAAAGTAGTTTGAAAGTGGACTTTCCTTTTCTTTAATTTTTTAAAATGAAAAATATTACCAAATTTTTTCTTTTTTTATCTAATAATTAATAATTATAATTTCAACTTTTAAAAATGAATAAATATTGTGAACTTAAAACTCACCCGGTTTACAACCAATTTAACAATACATCTCTAATACAATATTATTAATAAAAATTTATTATTTTTTAATATTTATGTAATAATAAAAGTAATAAGTGAGATTGACTACATAGACTAAATAAAATACATATATAAAAAAATTGACTAATATATTTAATATTTTAAGATTTTGATTAAAAATGTGGTGTCAAAGTGTCTTTTGTACTTTTTTATCATCAACTCAATTTTACTTTTATCATTTTCGAACCATCGACCATTATAACACTTTGATATTACATCTTCACTCAAAATTTAAAAGTATTAAATTTTCAAATGTGGTTCTAATTTTTATTTGGTTTGTTATGATTTTCTCTAATTCATCTTTTTGATAGGTTTATTGAACAAGTAGAGCATATCCATCACATGCAATGAAGTGGAAATGGGGAACTTTCAACCCATGTTGAATAATCACTAGTTATTAGCCAATAAAAAAAGTACTTAATTTGAAACAGAAAAGTGATTATCTTGTTTCTGAAATCATGTCTAGGTGTCTACCATTCCCTCCTCCAAATTATATGAAGAATGGCATAGGGGGTGAAGCACTCCTACAGCAATTGGAGGTTAGTTTGCACTTCTTTTTTTTTTAATCTTTTGAGATTATTAAAAAAACATTCTTATGCTTTTATCGATTGATTAAATTGTGTGAAAAAGATGTGTTGATAACTGGAAGAGAAAAACATGATCATTAGATTTTTATTTTAAACAAATTCTAATGACTGATTATTTATTTGTGTGTTTTTTTGTTGCACATAATTTTTGTAGTATAAATTATGGACTAATCTTCAAATTATATGATAATCGAAAGAAAAACAAACATAATTTGTCTTATTTTAATTCTTAATGAAATTTTAAACATTGACTAATTGTTCGATGATAGCGTTTTTTTGCTATTAATTTATAGTTAAATATCTCATCCAGTGCTGATTGAGTTTTATAGAAATTAATTTTTAATGAATTAATTTTATAAAGATATATGAACGAGTCTTAATCACTTATTTGATTTATGGTATTCTTGTTTTTGATTTTGAAGTTCCGAAGAGTGAAATACACTAAGGAAAAAAAGGAAGAAAAAGAGAGGAAAAGAAGCCATAACGATGAAAAGAGTAAAGAAAATGATAAGAAGTCGAAAAGAAGCCATGTCGATAAGAAGAGTGAAGAAGATGATAAGAAGTCGGAAAAAAATCACGAAGAGAAAAGAAGCAATGATGATAAGAAGAGTGAAGATGATGATAAGAAATCGAAAAGAATTAATGATGATAAAGAGAGTGAAAAAGATGATAATTCGAAGAGTAGTCATGAGAAGAAAAAGGAACAGAAACATGATGTTGAAAAAATGGAGACACATTTAGTGTATACAAAGTTGACTATGAATTGGGTTCCTCTTCGAATGCAAATGGTTCCAACTGATTTACAAAATGAAAATTGGCTTTCTAGGAAGAATCATTTCAATGGTGAAAGTGAAAGTAAAACTGCTGATCGAACCGAACATTTCGGAAATAGTAACTGCACTGACAATGGCAGCTATCAAAGAATCCAACCACTCGCATCTTATTTGCCTCTTGCTGAAGTGTATGCTTTGCCTTACGCTTTGCCATTTTGATTCATAATCAAAATAGTACGAGATAACACAAACAATACCGTCGTCTTTAAAGTTTTTTTTCACCAAAGACAAAAGTATGTGCTAGCTATGAAGACTATAATGGTTTATGAGTTTGTTTTATGGCTTATTATGAGGTGATCGTTGAATCCATGTTAGTTTTTTGTATGATGAGACATGTATAGATCTTTCATTGATAAATAAAGATAAAAATTGAAGAGCATTAACAGAACTTAGATGACAATTATTTAAACCTCAAAATTTCATGTTTTTAATGGTGTAAACCAAAACTTCAAAAGGAAACCATGTCTCTCTAAATCTTCCAAACAATCATAGTTTAGAAGATAGATTTATTAGTTAATTATTTCTCTTTTCTATACTACTATATGACGCACTATCATTGTCAATATCAAGTAATGCAAGATTTAGATGCAATTCTGCACTTGAATTCGGATAAACTTCGTCGTCAACATTTTCTTGATTTTCCAAATGATTGCGATCACTCTCTTGAGATTTAAACAAGTTGTTGTCTTTCTCGTCGCATCCTTTTAAGATATTTAGTATCTGCAATAATGGAATTGAGATGATATAGCATTTTTGAAGCTAAACTCTAAAAATTTACCAGTAGGGTCATTGGTATTACCTGATTCACTGTAGGATGAAGCCGCACAGCCCGTGTTATGCATAGGGATGCTGCAAGAATCATTCTGTTCATTTGTTCTACATCAAACTTTCCATGTAACTTTGTATCCATTAATCTTTTAATATCTCCACTCACTAAAATAGATTTTGCCCACGTGACCAAACTCAAGTTTTCGAGTGGATCGATTCTTGTCACTCACTTTTCCATACATGAAATATTCAGGTGCAAGATAACCAAAGATTCCTACCACGTCGTTTTGTATCGCAAACGAGGAAGTTGTTGGTCCCCACATAGCAAGTCCAAAATCACATAACTGTGTGTCACATTAAGAAGAAAATAATACAATTGAATGTGTCACATGATCATAAATTTCAAACACAAAATTATATTAATAAATGGTATCCAATCACATTTTCTTGAGAGAATCGACCAAGTGCAAGAATTGAGAATCTCAAAGTTGCAGCTATTAAAACTGTCATGAATTTGAGATGAAGACCGGTCTGGTAAGTTCATTACCCATTGCATAACAGACACGTCTCTTGAGATTTATGTATACAACTGATTACAGAGAAGTGACCATCCAAGTTTCATCTCTTCTTTGAAAGTTTCTTCCTCCAATCTTTTGTTATCTTGTTGGATTCTTGATTTCTTATTCTCCAAGTTGTCTTCAAATGCAGACTGGACCATCACTCCGAGAAGACTAGCTAACTATTTAGTGGGAGCTAAGAATCTAGATATGCGTAGGCCATGAATTAGAACCTTCTCCCTTAGAATTCTTCTATTCTCTCTTACCCTTGGATTCTATCTTATCCCACCTTTATCCCCATCTACTTTATTTCATCATCAATTTAATTACATACTCCTAAATCTTCATTCCTACTGTTTTCCCTAAAATCCAAAAACTTTCACTTTCTCCATTGGATTAATTCTTTCTAGAAAGCCAGTCTTCATCTTCTTCTTCTCTTGACTACTCTTGTACTTATCATCTTTTTCGTTCTCTTTAGCATTATTGCTTATCATCTTCTTCACTCTTATCACCATTACTTCTTTTCTTATCCTTTTTTTAGAGTATTTCACTCTCCGGAGCTTCAAAATCGAAAACAAAAATAACATAAATAAAATGTGTGATTAAGACTCGTTCATATATCTTTACAAAATTAATTAATTCAAAATTAATTTTTATCAAATTCAATTACTACTAGAGGTTTCTTATAAACTAATGGCAAAAATGTTATCACCGAACTAATAATCAATGCTTAAAATTTCATTAACAATTAAAATAAGACCAATCAATTTTTTTTCTTTCAATTGACGATTAATCCATAAACAAGTAAATAAATAATAAAACCTTATAATTTTGTTTACAATAAAAATATAATGATCATGTTTTTATCTTCCAATTATTAACACATCTTTTTCACACATCTTTTTATCAATGAAAGCATAAGAATGGTTTTTTTTAATAATCTCAAAAGATAGACGTTGTAACGGAGTGCCATCAAGAACAAATCTAAACTATGAAAAAGATTGAGTTTCTTGAACAAACTCAAGAAACCTTATTAGATTTCCCAAAAGAGGGAGAAGAGGGAAGAAGAAGAAAATCAGGATTGGTTATAACTATTTTACTATTCATTTACTCATTAAGGGTTCAAAGATTACAAGTGAATAACAACAACTAACCTCTCTCATCCACATGAGAGAAAACTATCTATTTATAGACTACTAAACTAACTTAAGAAACAAGCTAACTTAAACAATATGGCTAACATACATGCCCAATTCGACATGCTAAAACATCTAGTATATTTCGACATTAGGATGTGAACAAACTTCAACTACATGCTTAACCTATGTCGAACCATGGAAGCTTCCCCCAATGAGACCAGAGTTAGATCCAATATTCCATAAATCTCCACCTTGGATCAAACTCAACAACATCATAGGAACAAACCAGCTTTCATATTGTAGTTTTATCAACTGCATACAGTGGAAAACTTCCAGCTTTACAATGTCTTGGTGATCATATCAGCATCATTATTTTCAGTCGAAACCTTAAGCACTTGGACTTCTCCATGCTAGATTATTTCTATGACAAAATGAAGCCTCACGTCGATGTACTTGGTTCACTCATGATAGGCCAAATTCTTTGACAAGTGTATTGCACTTTGGCTGTAACATTTAACAATGATTGCTCGACCTTGAAGTTTCATCTTTGTGATACGGTGGCAGAACTGACTGTTATACTGGTTTTGCATTTGTATTCGTAAATATTGCGGTAAAAAAGAGTCTCCACCGAATTTTATTTTATCCAACAAAGGAAATGGTGAAAAGAATAGAAAAAGACCTTTCGAGATCATTTCTGGGTCACGGGGGTAGATTATGGAAAGAGAAGGTGTTAGCATCCTTTCCATCCGTAGTTTTCTACGGGCTCTTAGACGCTTAGCTCATTTTTGAAATACCTTGTGTTTTTGTGTGTTTTTGAAAAGTATTTTGAAATGCCATAGTGAGGCAGTTGGCTTTATGATAACTCTTGCATCAGTCCTCAAGAGTGTTGATAAAGTGTTTTTTAAAAAGGTTTTTGAAAATTGTTTTGTGTAAGTGTAAAAAGTTTGTTTTGAGCATACATCTAGGAACTATCTACTTTACTCGAAAGGGTCGTTCTTTTCCTCCTTTCCTTTAGACAGTGCTAGCCTACTATTAGTGAGTAGGTATCCCTAGTCGTTTGGATGTATGAGGAACATTCGAAGGGACGTTTTATAGTCACAAAGGCAACTGGGCAAGAAACCTTAGTAACTACCCTAGGATTTTAAGATCATTGTTTACCGAGGCAACGTCGAGAGGGTCATCGAGGGACTTATGATCTTTTTAAACCGGAGGGTAGCCACTAAAATCTCTCACGTTTAGAGAGTTGTGACTATTTTTCCGAAGGCAACCAAGGTGGCAATACCCTAAAGGTGTGCATGTGAAAGTGTGTTATGTTCGGTTATTTTTGTCTTTTGCATTAGGTTTGCTAGCGTTTTATTTTATGTTCTTGCCATACAATCCTATTAGTCAAGCATCTAGACAGTTAATAATTTGTAGGAATTTAAAATGCGGAATTTAAAGCTACGCTATTACATGGCTTCGGGGAGGGAGATTAATTACATAGTCCAAAACTTGGGGGAGAAATAAAAGCAGAAAATAAAGTCCTAATTTTAACTATTACAACCCATAGTCAGATACAATAATGATAAGAATAAAAAATGCTAAAACAATAAACGCGCACGAATTGAAAGGATTTCTAAATCCTAAAAATGAAATATTTTTGTTATTTTGTTTTTCTTTTATAAAAGAAAAGTAAAAATCTAAATCTACTTAATTTTAATAAAAAATGTTTAAGTGATTAATGATTAATTAACGAAATTAAATTTAATAAAAAGGACTAGAACCTAATTTTTTTTTTGTGATTTTTTTGATTTAATATTGATTTAGAGAGGAAAACTATCAAAAGAAATGAATAACACAAAAAAATAAAAATACAAAATAGTCTTTCGATTCAGGGAAGGAGATGGATTTCGATCCAGTGAAAGATGTTATCCTTCGATCCAGTGAAAGATGTTATCCTTCGATCCAAGGAAGGATGTGGCTTTCGATTCAGCGAAGGATATTGTTGAAAGTGTTTGATGGATTGCCTGTGGAGGGTACTGAATCAGCAAGAAAGCAAACAGAAAAAATCATTGCAAGAGGCAGGGATCGAAACCCCTACCTCTGCATACACACACACACCTTATCCTTCCTGCCTCTAATTCGAATCTGGGTGTTGTTGGCCTTAAAATGCCTATATCATGAGCTTCGAAAGGCAAATTCAGATCATGCCCTTCGATGGCATGATCTTATTCCTGCATGTTACCTTATGTATGATATGTTCATATAAACATAAATGACATTAGCAGCACATATATGCAATATATTTAAAGGGCCCGGAGATACAATTTTTGATTTTTGTGAATCCTTACCAACAGGAAAGGCTTCGATCTATGAACTTGGGCGTAGATTTACTCGTGTAAGGGCCTAGTTGACTTCCTGTGTGCAAGCAATGCGTGTGCGTGTCTGGCTGGTGGTATGAGTATGTCAAAAGCGTTTTAATGGGCAATGAATCCGTTTGGCTGATCAGTGGTTATTTATTTGCCTCTTTTTTTGTTTTTGTCTTTCTTCTTTTTTCGTCCCTGACAATGTATCTTTAGGCCTGTATTTATAGGGGTGTGAGGGGAATGGAAATGGCAAGGGACAACCATTAACCAGGCTTTGAAGAAAAAATCATACAAATTAAAGGATTGCCATTTTTTGATGGATTCCTGCCCTTTTAGGTTTTGGGATGAAC